AATTCATTCCACATATTTATGTACCTTAGCCTCTTAACTCATGTTGCAACTTATTGCATAAATAATACTTACAAGAAAAATCAATACGCATTTCCCATATGCGAATCAAATCAATCATCACATTAATCATCAATCAAACTCACTACCAAACAATTTCAACCAATCTACAAGTTTCCCTAACATGATTCTAAATTTTTCCAAGTCCTTAAACATGCTTCTAAAGTCAAGGTTTTCGTATCCTTGTACGTACCTTGAGTAAACGAGTTGGTTGGCTACTTTAAGAACTAGAAATCGCCTTCTACAAAGTCCTCTCCTAAACCAAACAATAATAATTCAATCAATACCCAGGCAATATAATTTACAGCAATACTAACTTACTTTAAAACCTTCAAAATCCAATTAAACAACACTTTAAAACCTTCTCTTTAATTAAAATCAAAAGCTTATATATAGTTCTTTATGTTTCCTTCTTAAAAACCTTAATATACATCTTTATATATGAAATTACAACATATTTAAGCTACTAACTAAATATGAAAATTTAGTTTATACGCATCCTTTGCAATTTAACAACCCATACTTGTAATAATTGAATAATAGCTTAAATATATGTGTAGAAACTTCAAAACCTATAATTTTTTATACCATAACAATAAAATTCAGATTACAAAAATATGAAAAATTAATTTAAACCTTAAACTTGATACTTTAATAACATAATAATTCTATCATAACGGTCATGTAGTGTATAGGAAACTCTAAGAAACATGATTTAGAATGGTTTAAATTCTCAAATCTATATTTTTAATAATCTGAAAATTAGATTTAATCATCAAAAATATAATTTTAACACAATAAAAACACTATATACTCAAGTAACTTGACTAACACGTTTTAAGCCCTAAAATCATGAAAAATCAAAGTTTAAGCCCTAATTTCACAAATTATATAAATCTGAAATTTTAAACCACATATCATAATTATAAACTTGGTAATTTCTCATGTTTTTAAAGAATTTAAACATGATTAAAACAATTAAAACTAACAATATAAATTAAAACAACAATCTTTAATAATAAAAATAATAATAAGGAAGAAGGAGAAAGGGAGGAAGGAGGAAAACCGGCGGCTGGTGGTTGATGGTTGGGCGATGGTGGTCAGGAGATGGCGGTGGTTCTGGGCGGTGCTGCGGCAGTGGTCTGGTGGTCCGGCAGCAGCAGCGTGCGGCAGAAGGCAACACCATTTTTTTTTCCCCTTCTGCTGTCGTGAAATAGGGGAAGCAAGGGAGTTTGGGTTTTTTTTTTTTTTTTTTTTTTTTTTTTTTTTTTTTTTTTTTTTATCGTGAGAAGTAAGAGGGGAAATAAGGGTCTTGGGTTTCCTAGTTCTAATAAAACTAGGATTGTGTGAGTGGGTTTTAGAAAAAAGAATAGGCTTAGTAATTAATGGGTTGGACTTGCATAATAATTCATGATTAATATATGGGTAGTGAAATAATTTAATGAAATAATTTTATTAAATTTATACACATTAAATTTATTTGCTTAAATCATAGTAAGATAAATTATGTAAATAAATAATCATAATTAAATATTCACATAAATATGTTAAAATATAATTTTAAATTTCACAAAATTACGGGGGATTACATAGACAATATATGATTAAGGTAGTAGTATACAACTAATCAAGAGAAAGGAAAAAAGTGGTTGATTCGTCACTATTATTGCAACCGTACTACTTACAGTTTCAGTTTTAATTTCTCTTTAGTTGGGCAGTTACATACTTAATGCTTTATAACTTAGTGTATTAATGCATTGTTTAATGCATCTCTTATTATTTGATGTTTGATTCGTTGTTTTATGTATGTCTTAAATTCTTAATACATTGTTCAATGCATAACTTAAAGCATTGTTTAATGCATGACTTAATGCATTGTTACGTTTGTTACGTTTGAAAAATGCAGTGACATACTAAGCTACTATCTTATATATATGAGAAACTCCTCATATGATGGATGAAAAAAGCTGAGAGATGAAATATAATTTCTATCTTATTACTTTGGCATAGGAAGTTATAATCAGCTGTTCATTTTCACAAAATTACAAACACTTTTATACATTGAATTACAATAATCCTACAAGTTAGTGTAATTGTTCTTCGTTGTATCTCCTGAGTATTTCCGTGATACCCGGTTGTAGTATAGGGTTGAAATTATACTTTTGGGAAAGTGATCCCGTTCACGCCTCAAAGATTTTTCCAATAATTTCATTTCCATTTCTTTGTGACCCTTGTTTACTAGAAAATCCCCAACAGCCACCTCCTTTATTATTGAAAATATAAATACGTTTGATATTTTATTTTCTCTTACTCGCACCAATTAAGGCCTTGTTCTTTTGAGCTTCTGGGCAGAGCAGATTTCAGCAGAGCAGAGCCTCCTAATACTACAGAGCAGAGCATATTTTAGTAGAGTAGAGCAGAACAACTCAAAAAAACAGGACCTTATTTGATTAATAAAATAGTAGTGAGCAAAAAATCAGGGTACCCTGATTCAGAACCTGAACCTATTAGGAACCGTAAGTTCCGGAACCGAAATCTGTACAAGAGGTTTCGGTTCCGGGCAAAATGGGGAACCTGTTGTAACAGGTTTCGGTTCAGGTTCTCAATTTTTTGGAGCCGGAACTTGTAGGGTACCCTGTAACCTGATAAAAGTATCACTTAAGTTCAAATTTTACACCATATCTATACTATTTTTTTAATTAATAAATATCAAAAATTATAATTATAAATATATGTATTAAATTTTTTCAACAATTACTATTAGTTTGTTTTATTTGCGAGTTATAAACATTATATTTTAGTAACCATCTAGTTTTTTTATACAAAAATCTGCAAAAAAAATATTAAATAAATTACAAGACAGGGTACCTTGAATCGGAACCGGAACCAGTAAGTTCAGGTTTCGGTTCCCAATTTTCAGGAACCTGTTCAACAGGTTCCGGTTCCGGTTCCCTATTTGAGAAACCTGTTGCAATAGGTTCCGGTTCCAGAAATTTTAACAGGGTACCCTGTTATGCTCACCCCTAGTTGACACCGAAATTTTGTTAATTTTTAGGTGTTAAATATATGTAAAATAGGAGATAATATCAATAAATATAAAATATTTATCTTCAAGATCTCGTAGAATATTTGATTATTATCTTGTTAACTACTATATGACTCTCTATATAAAAAGGATCGAATCTAGGGTTTAATTAGGCTCAGATGGAACAAGTCACAAAACCCCATCTCTTCCCTACTACCAAATATTGTAGGCATATAATAGTATGGAATAAGCCGACAAGGCCTCGTACTATAAACACATATCAAAATCCTAGCCCTTTGGAGAGAGGAATCAAGAGATTTACGAGAGTTGTAACCCACAAATTATTAATAAAATAATTATTTCCGTATATTTTTACCTTCTTTATTTGTATATTGCAGGTTTAAATTTTTATGGTTTACAATAGATTATACTGCATGCTATAAACCCTTCTTTACTTGCGAATTTAAATAGTTATAACTACTCCTATTATTTTTCACCACATTCACCAGCTATTAAATTACATGTAAATTTATTTTCATTACTACTATTTAAAATCGACTATCAAGCAAGGCGTTAAAATTAAATTTGTGTCCCACTATGATCTTCCCGCCAAAACTAGTACTAGTGTAAAACAACAAAAATGTGCCTAAGAAGAGTTGTGGTCCTTTGTTAATTAACAGAGTTGCATAAAGGAAACAGTTGATTTACTACTTTCTTAAGGAACCAGAGATGCAAAAGGCCCACTTCCAACTAACTTGCTTTCTGACATGGAGTAACACAGCAGTCTAGCATAAACTTAAAAATTACTTCCTACGAATTACTTTCTTAATTCTCAATTCTATTATGTTTAGAAGTTTATAGTGAGTTGAATCTAACAAAGTAGCACATAAATATAAATTTTTATTTATTGTAACATTTTGTAAGTAAATGATCATGCAATTTTTTTTTTTAAAAAAGAAGTCGGTTAAAATAGGTAAAAAGTTCAATGTTACAATAGGAACAAAATTTGAGTAATCACGGATCGCTTTCTTTACTTGAATTTTATTGCATAAAAGTTTAAACTTTTGTTAAATTAGTATGTGACGATTGAATTTCACCATCATAAGTTAAATTTGGTAATGAAAATGAGTACATTGGCTTGAAAGCGTGAGACTTCAACTTGTGTATGCATCAATATAGAAGGTGGATGATTGAGAGAATGAAAATAAAAGGCACTGAGGGAGACCCAAAATAATTTTGATGGAAAGAGTTAAAAATGACGAGAAAAAGTGGGCATTATTGCAAGAGCAATGGATTAGCTAGATTATTGGTTCATATAGCCAATCCCATCCATATGAGTATAAAGCTATAATTTTTCTTTAAATTTTTCTTCTTGTACTGTTATTGTTGTTGTTGTTGAATTGACTTTAGAGAGATTGACTAATTTTTCTTGCCTATTGTTTAATTTCTTTTTAAATGACATGTTTTGACTTTGGAGATCATTTAAATACGTTTCTTGATAAAAATTGAAGATATTAATTTGAAAAAATCATGCATTGCACCTAAAGACATGTATCAATTAAAATGAAACTAATGAAATAGATAATATTGTTGATAATAGAACATGTTAGAAAGCTATTAATGACATGATGCGATTATTATTGCCTTATAAATAAGTATCAGAGTCTCGCATAATCAACAAAATATATATAAACCGAATAAAAAAGATACACATCAATGAATTCACACACACAATATTAATAAAGGGATACCATGCCATAATAAATTAATAACCAATATACCAATAGACATGCGATATCTGTAATAATTCAAGTTACTAATTACTATAGATCTTACATCCTTTTGAAAAAATATAGATCAAGACATAGTTATATGAAATCTCGTTAGACTTATCACTTTTTTAATTTTAAAATATTAAAAATTATATAATTTTTAAACAGAAATGTTGTTATTACAATATACCATTGAAAAATGTTTAAGATTCAAAAAAGGACTAAACTTGATTGTTAATCAAAAACTTATTTTTACTTAAAAGTAAAAACTTATAAAAATCCAGATAATAGACATAACTTGAATACCTCCAAATTCCCACCTCTTTAATCCTCCTCTTCCCCCCCCCCTCTCTCTCTCTTTCTCTCTCCCTCTTTAAAATTCAGCTCCCATCTGTTTCCCACACTCCTTACTTTCTTCCCCATTTCACTCAAAAAAAAAGAAAAAAGAAAAAAAAAACCTGCTTAAATAATGCTTGTTATTAAGTGAAAATCACATAAATCTGGGATATTTTTGGTGGGAAAATAAAAATCTGAAATGGGTACTCAGATTTATGTAATGGGTATGTGTATTTTGGTGTATTTTCTGAGCTTAAACTTAGTTTTAGTGAGTTCAAGCTCAGTTTTAGGAAGAAAGAATGAAAAAGGTACAGTTTACATTGATGGAAGAAATGCCATTGGTAAAATTGATGAAGATTTTATTTGTGCTACTTTAGATTGGTGGCCTCCTGAGAAATGTGATTATGGTACTTGTGCTTGGGATCATGCTTCTCTCCTTAATCTGGTAAATTTTCTTTGCAACTCTTGTTGAACATCAAAATATGAACTTTGAGCTTTTTTTTTTTTTGCTGCGATTTTGTTGAAAATTCTGTTTTAGTTGTATTACATTGTTTTTCAGCAGGATTTTTACTATGTAATCAATTAGTATATGGGCAAAGAAATACTCTTGGTTGTACTATGCTCAAGGCAAAACTGGTTGTAAATTGAAATTGTGGTGTTCCTAGTGTATTTATCTTGAATTGTTGCTTGTAAATTATGATTTTAAGTGAAAAAAAAAACCCTTAGTTTTAGGCTAGAATATTAAATTTTTGATCTGTTTTTACATTTATTATGCACATTCTTGAAATTTATGTTGGTTTATGAATTTTATGTGCAGGATCTCAGCAATCAAATATTTTTAAAAGCAATACAAGGTGTGTAATATGCTACTATCTTAACTTCTGTTGAGTAGTTTCGACAATTGCATTTACTGTGTTAATCAGAATTTGACTTATAGGGTGGGACATGAGTGTGTGTCCGTCGGCTATTTTATGCATTTTATAAGCATGTTTTTGGCTCAAAATGGTGTCAAGTGTCCATATGATTTGTATTGGATGGTCGAGTGTTTAGCATGGGTACTCGAGGCAAAGTAATTAGTGTAACATAGGTGTTTTTACATATAAAGTTGTATAGATGAAATTCCTTACTTAAAAATGTTAATAATGCAGCCTTTTCGCCTTTGAAGATTAGGCTTGGTGGTACTTTGCAAGATAAAGTGATTTATGAAAGCAAAGATTCTAAACTGCCATGTAATCAGTTTAGCAATAGAAGCACAGAAATGTTTGGTTTTACTCCTGGATGCTTACCGATGAAGCGATGGGATGAACTAAATGCCTTCTTCGAAAAAGCAGGGTAAATTAAAAAAAAAAAATCCTGTTTGATCTCATCACCTGTAAATGTACCGTGATTAACAGTTTTGATTGTTAGTTATGCATTTGTTATCACACATAATTGAACTTTCTTCGTTCGTTTTCAGGGCATTGATTGTTTTTGGACTTAATGCTCTTGCTGGAAGAACCATTCAGTCTGATGGCTCAGCTACTGGTGCTTGGGATCCTTCAAATGCCAAATCTCTTGTTCGTTATACAGTCGAAAAGGGCTATGATATTCATGGCTGGGAGCTAGGTGATCCACATATTTCAACTTGTATATATTCCAAATGTTATAATAATGGAAGTTAGTGAGTTTGTGTATTATGTTCTTTGAGTTTTAATTTCCTTCTGTCTGGCAGGAAATGAGCTAAGTGGAAGTGGAGTTGGAACACGAGTTTCAGCAGCTCAGTATGCATCTGATTTGATTTCTCTGAAAAACATGCTGGAAGAAGTTTACAAGGCGAACAAATCTAAGCCTCTTGTCATAGCACCTGGAGGTTTCTTTGATCCAAACTGGTTTACAGAATTCATTAATAAAACACACAACAACCTTGATGTTATGACACACCATATATACAACCTAGGGCCAGGTATTTCACATATCATCAATCTGTTTAAACAATTGTTTCCTAAGATCATAGGACAGAAACTGAATTCATTGCATATTGGTGAATTTGTAGGAGTTGATACACACCTTATTGATAAGATCCTCAATCCATCATATCTTGATGGAGAGGCTGATACATTTAGAAGGCTACAGAACATTCTCAGGAGTTCTGGGACTTCTGCAGTTTCATGGGTCGGGGAAGCAGGAGGTGCTTATAACAGCGGTCATAACCATGTTACTAATGCATTCGTGTTCAGTTTCTGGTATGTAATCGTTAAATACTGCATACACCAGTTCTTTCTTTGTGAGATTTTCCTATGCTTGCAGAAAAACCTGACAGATTTGATGTTTAAAAAAGGTATTTAGATCAGCTTGGAATGTCATCAACTTTTGATACGAAAACATATTGTAGACAAACTTTGATTGGAGGAAACTACGGCTTGCTTAACACCACTACCTTTGTTCCTAATCCAGACTATTACAGGTTTGTGTGTTTGAAAACAGAACATTACAAAGTTCCAAGATAGGGTAAAAACTCTGATTTGATGGTTGGTTATTTTTCTTTCTGCAGTGCCCTTCTGTGGCATAGACTGATGGGAAGAAATGTGCTATCAACAAGTTTCTCCGGGACAAAGAAAATCCGAACATATGCTCATTGTTCAAAAGTATCTGTAAGTTAAAACTCTTACTAAAATCAATTTCATGAAAGATCAACAGTATTTGCTTCACAAATGGATGAATAAATGATTTTTTCTCTCATCTGCAGCAAGGGATAATGCTGCTGTTACTCAACCTAGATGGAAATACAACCGTTGAAGTGAATGTAGGCTTCAATGGAACATGGAGTCTTCTAAACAAGCATCCACATATCCACAAGAATAGAGCGATAAAGTGGCACCAGAAAGAAGAAACAGAAAGAGTAAGAGCCGAGTATCATTTGACTGCAAAAGATGGTAACTTGCAGAGTCAAACAATGCTTCTTAATGGAGAGGTGTTGGGTGTGAGTTCATCAGGAGAAATACCTTCCTTAACTCCTTTACATGTTAACTCATCAGAGCTGATAGTTGTAGGACCTTTCTCGATTGTATTCGTTCACATGCCTTACATCATTCTTCCTGCTTGCAAATAAAAAGGTGGAACCAGAATGGTGTTCATCTTGTAATAATTGGTTTATCATAAATTTCATAAATAAGTTTTTTAAGGTATTAGATAGGAATAGTCTTAGTGGTGGAATCGAAATGGATTTCATCTGCTTCTGTTCTTGCATAGGTCATAAAACTTTGACCTATGGTCTATTGATTGTGCTTAGATTTTGATAGCAGAAATCATAGCATCAAAATTTTATCAAAAACTATACCTGTGTTATGCCCTGTTAAAGCATTTTCAACTACTGCAAAAATTGATTCTCTCTTGAAAATTTTCAAAAAATGCAAAAATACGGGAGACATGTATGATTAAGACCTATAAATAGGAATGGTATTAAGTTCAGTTCTTTGCAAAGTATCTAATCCATTAGGAAGATGTAGATGATGCATTTTCTTTCGAGGATAAAAGATCACCATTAGATGTTATGTAACATAGCAGTCAGTCATTCTTTGCAAACTCAGAAACAAACGCTACAAAAGTTTTGGGCATCACAGAGGTGAATGATTCATTACATAGGTACTAGATCCTCACAACACTAACATATGATCAGCAAACTTAGATGTAAATGATACTCCTAGATCAGAACATATCAATACCATCATCACTATCATCGCTGTCAAGTTCATACTTAGCCATCACCTTATCCATATCCTCGCAATACCCACATCTTATTACGTATGGAGGATGATAAACCGATGAACCAACACCAACACCATTGGGGCGAAATTCATCTGAAGATAGATGCACAAGAAAGCCATTTTAGTGCCTTAAGACATGTATGTTACAATCTAATAACAAAGAGAAAGGGGACGGACAAATATGCCTTGTTTTGTTCACCTTATTTACACTTATTTCAAGGAAAACAAGTTCAGATTAGAATTGAATCATAAGATAAGTTCAGAGAAAATAAAATTTTGATAAGCTAAGGGTTAGCCAAGTTTAGATTACAACTAAACTAAATTATAATAAGGTTTATAAGTTCCGAGGATATACCCTTAGAAACTTACCAAAAGAAATCGGACTAGGATTCAGGATACAACACTCAATCTCATCTTCTTCATATGCAGGAGAAGATAACAGATCGTCATAAAACAGCACTGGAGAAGAATCACCGTCTTTTTTACGAGCAAAGAAGTTCATATGAACACCATAAGCACAGTGCTGTGCCATAGCCTTATATGGACTGTGAGGGGTGTACGACACCTTTAAAGAAGACCATGCATCCATAAGAGCATCTCTGAAAAAACATTAATTAAATCGATAAAATTTAGAGAATTCATTTTCCACATTAAAATTTGATATGATCATGTGAGAAAAAATAAAAAAAAATAAATGAATAAAATAATATAAAATTGAAAGGAAATTAATTTAAAGGAGAAAAAGGAGAGGTAGAAGATTTACGGTCCATCAAGGGCGTCAACTGCAGGAGGGGTGTTCACAATCTCCATCATTCTGACTTGATTAAAAGGAGTTTTTAAGTACAGTATTATATTTGTGAAGTTTGTGATAATAAAAGCTAAACTTATTAAGGTTTATATAAAGGTTTTGACTGCCTTAAAAAAAAAAATATAAAGGTTTTGACTTTTGAGGATTTTGATCAAGCAAGGTAAGTATAATAGAGGATACTCTCTAAGCGATTTTCTAATGAAACTCAGTATTAGGTTTAGGGTAATCCGGATTCGGGAATTAGTTTTGAGTGGTTAAGTTTTAGTCACCTCTCAATTGTTATTGCGGGAGATCGAATACACGGTCCTCCCTATCAAGTTTAGTCCCAATCACCACTACACTAACAACTAATTAGTTTGTTTAGAGAATTTATGTTTGTGAAAAAAAAAAATGGTTTAAACAAGCATGCATGTTGTTTAGGTTTGTATCTTTGACATATGATAATTTATATGGAATAGGAAGTCCCAACATGAATTGAATTTTTGGGTAGTAAATTTAATTTTTTTTAACTATAAGGATTAAGAAATGGTTATTTAAAATAAATAAATAAAAAGATGATAAAATTAAGGATTTTTTGACTTTTACCAACAAAAAAAAAATCAAAAAATTGTTTTTTACCATAAAAAAAAAAAAATTATTTTTTACCACATGCCGTAAATTTGAGGGGCATTTTGGTCCTTTAGATCCAATTTGAGGGCATAATTGACAAAAAATGATCGAAAATGTCTAGTTTTGCGTGAAACACGCAAAACAAGACATTTCCAATCATTTTTTTTGTCAATTCTGACCTTAATTAAATTGGACCCATAGGGCCAAAATGCTCCCTTAAACTTGTCAAGAACATGTTTGGCGCATGAAAATCGAAGATTTTTTTTTTTAAACCGTTAGTTTTAACGGTTTTCTTGACGGTAGGTAAAAAACAATTTTTAGAAATTTGTTTGGTGGTAAAATAAAACTTTTAAAAGTTTTGGTGGTAAAAAATAATTTTTCGATTTTTTTTTGGTGGTAAAAGTCAAAAAATCCTAAAAATAATTTAGGTATTTTAACTTTTAAGGAGTGATTATTTACAATTTTTCCTGTTGAAATTTTTTGGAGGTGAACAAGTTGAGAACCAACTTTAGGTGTTGTTTGTTTGATATAGGAATGTACTTTCCATGAGAATTTGTATATCATGAGAATTAAATACCTACATCCAATTTCTAGGAATTATCTAAACTTATTTGGTTGGAATGAAGGAAGTTGCAAATCATGTGAACTTTGACTTACTTAGCGGGATAAAGTAATTAACTTCCCATGTTTTGTGGGAAGTCACAATTCCCGTGAATTTGCAATTCCCACATTTACACTTTTATTGTCAACCAAACAATGGAGTAATTAATACAGAAATCAAAGTAATAAGGTCTCTCTAGGTGAGAGTATTTAATGTAGGTAATCTGCTTTGCTAGCGAGATCAGCCGGTTATTAGTGTGTTCCGTAATGTATTCGGTCCCTCTGATTAATGAGGATTAATCGAGTATTTATAGCCTTGGGAAGCGTGCAACTTCTAGGTTTAAGGTAAACCTAGGGCCGATCGGGCTTCTAGACTGAAATGGGCCTTGATGGCCGGCTTGTCCCATTTGGCATGGGTGGACACGTGGCGTGTCTTAAGTGGTCCGTGGAGGACGCGTGGCGGAACCTGGTTGGTCCACTTGTCAAAACGGCGCTTGGTGGATAAAAATCCCCTAATCATTTGCCCCTCACAGGTGGCACGCGACTGGTCACGTGTCGCCTGTGACAGGTGTCGCACGGTGACAGGCGACGGCCCGTTACAGGTGTCACCTTGCAGACGGCCGGGAGACTCTCCCGCCCAAGTTTGAATTCGGAAGCGACCCTTCGCCTTCTCATTTTGCCTATAAAAGGAAGTGCTGACTTCGGTCATTTTCACATTTGAGAATTTTTGCGAGAACATTCGGACCCCTGAACTTGCTCTGACATTTTCGGACTTTTTCTGCCTACCGCCTGTTCTGACAAGCCGACTGACCGAACTTTCAGGACTTCATCAACTGTCATCCGTTCAGGTAACTCAGTTCTCTTACTCTTAATTTTCTTTTTTATTTTTTGAAATGGCACCATGGAAGCACACGACACGCCCTAAGTTAGTGATCAGCCGGTCACCGGGGACGGCTGAATCTAGGACTAGGAGTGCCGCCTGCCCTTTTCTGGACCCATCTTTGCCCTTTATACAAAGTCCGACTGAATCTGTGTCTATGCAGAACGTGATGGCCAGAACAAAAAAGACTGCTAGAATATCAAACTCAGACGGCTCCTCCCAAAGGGTACTCCTTAGCGAAACATCTGACCAGGCGCCAGATGTGGAACGAGGCGACTGTCAAGCTGACAGTTCTGAGAGAGGGACCAAGGTGTTCCTTCTCATCTAACCGTGGACATGTCTAATTTACCTTCTGCTCCTTCTAAGGGAGAGGAGGCGGGCCCCTCTAGGAGAGGGGAGGCGTCGTCCTCTTCGGACTCGTCAGGGGACGAGTCCGATTCCAGCTCTTCTGACCATAGTTCTTCTGACCATAGTTCTTCTGACTCAGAAGAAAAAACATAACCGCCTACAAGAGGCGAGAAGTTCCCATGCAGTGGAGAAGGGGGATAATTGGGCAGAGCCGTCCGCCTCTTACAGAGAGGAAAACACCCCTACTACTGCAGGGTGCCCCGGGGCCGGATCGCAACCATGCGAGACAACGTGGCGAGCTTTATTGCTAACCACAAAATGGGCCCGGAGTATTTACTGTTTGTGCCGGATCCAGAAGATACTGTCGTCTGGCCGGTTGGTACCAGCTATGGTGACGGCTGTTTTGGCTGCTATGTGGCGGCCATCAAAGCTGGTCTGCGCTTCCCATTACATCCGGCTGTTCAGCGGATTTTAGATGGGTATGATCTGGGGTTATGGCAGTTAGCCCCAACTCTTGGGTAAACGTACTCGGCTATGTGGCCGGGTGCGAACTGAACGGGGTGGAGCCAAGTTTTGAGGCTTTCGCCCACATGAACTATCTCAGCCGGACCCCTAAGTCGGGAGGTACCGGCTGGTATCAACTAACAAGCCACAGGGGTTACCTCATGACGAGAGGTAAGGCAAACAAATGGAAGGATTGGCGGAACACCTTCCTTATTATCGAGAGTTCAGACACGGAGCTGAACAAACGTTTTAACAAGTGGAACAGGGATCCGCCTCTTCTTGCAGGCGGCCGCAGCATGCCGCCTGTTCCCCCTAAGGCTAAAAGAGAGATCCTAGACAAAGGACTCTTCAAAGTAGAGACTAGGGTGAACTCTACTTCAGGGGTACGAGAGCAAGTACCCCTACACTGCGTTCCCGAGCTTCAAGTGGCTCTATGATGAGTACTTCTTGGCCGCCTGTGGCCTCGGCAGTCGGTGCTCTAGAGGTAGCCGGCCTGACGAATACTCTGTTTTCTCACGCCTTGTTTACTTGGGATTTTTACTAACTTTGCTGTTTATTTCTTTCAGCCGACGCCATGAGTAAAATAACAGCATCTAAGACTGCGGCGGCCATTGCTGCGGGTTTCGCTAATGAAGCAGTCGTACGCCGACTCCCCCAGCAAGGAGGCACCCTTGGTAAGCTTTGAAAACTCTTCCCCTTTAAGTTGTATTATGCATATACTAACTCTTTTTGTTTTTCAGGTCTGGCACTCCAAGGGCTTCTTCCTCGCAACAGCCGGACCCCAAAGGCCCGGAGAACGACTGTTGCAAGCTCTCCTGGGTCTTCCAGGAAAACAGTGGCGGCTGAGAAGCAGCCGGCCACTTCTTCAAAAAACCCAGGCGGGGCGGCCTAGATGTATGGACACTTGCTTGTAAAAAACTCACTCTTTGCTTCCTTCTTGATTAGGTCTAACTTGTTTTTCCTTCTGCTTAATGCAGCCGGCCCCCAGGGACTTGACTTGGTTGAGGTTGCCAAGTCAATGGTTAAAGTAAGTTCCTCCCTCTGACAGGGAGGCGGTCAAGGGTGCCGGCACCCTTGACCTCGATGGAATTTCGGGGATCCTAGCTGAGGTATACCCTTTTGAAGTTCCAGGACGCCTGTTAACCCTTATGATTGGAAACTGACGCCTGTTTTTCTTTGTACTTAGGCCCTGCTCCGAGTCAACAGCCTTCGCAAGCCGATTGATCGGAAAAACAAAGAGGTAAAGGCCGCAAAGGCTATGGCCGCCTCCAGCTGTGATAAAGCAATGTTTCAAATTGCCCAAAATGAAGTACTGACCATTGATCTTCTTTATTATCAGGCGCAGGCGACCGCCGCTGTTCGGGCTCAGCTAGAGGCGGCCCAAAAGAAGGTTGACGAGCTGGAGGGGACCGTCACCAAATTTAAAGCCGAGCTGAAAACCCCTTCGCCAGAAAATGCACTCTTACGAAGCCATGGAGAAATCTTTGGCTAACGTAAAAGAACGCCTGGTGAACCAGGAGAAGAGTCTTACCCAAGAGCTCTCGGACAAGGCCGAGCAAGAAAAACAAGAGCTCGTCCGGGAGATGGTGGAAGACTCCGCCCAAATCCAACGCATGACCTGGGAACGACTGTTCCCCAGTGCCGACTTTGCCTCATGGGAAAGAACGTACCGCCAGTGTTCGGAAATATATAATCAACAGATCCTGGCGGCTGCTGAAGAAGAGGCGATGGACGTTGCGTTGGAGGAGGAAGAGCCTGTTGTGGCGCTTGTGCCACTTGGGGGAAAGGCATCAAAAGATGATGCAGCGAAGGCCGAGTCCAGCAAGAAGAGTGCTGACCAGGCGGCTGCTGCTGATACTGAACTGCCCCCTTCTTAAGCTTTAAGTATATTTTTTCTTTTCACGGCCTGCGTGCCGTTTGCTTTGTAATTACCCGGCCAGGGGGCCGGGATTTTGAATATTCTGCTGGTCTTTTATGGCCGGCTCATTTTAATCAAATTTTTTGTTTTTTGTTCAAATTTGTCTAAGTATTTGAAATTTGCTCACTAGACAGACTGTTGTGTATGGCCGAACGTTAAGACAGGTACAAATAGTAAGTATGCCGCCTATGCCCCTGGACGACTGGTTGTCTGTTTCCAGGATAGATGATCAGTCGGCCATTTAATCAATCGGTATTCGAACTCTTTATTCAATTTGACCAAGTAAATAGAATTACCAAGTAGCCAAGGAATTTAAGTAGGAAAACAAGCGGCGGGTACCGGTTGTTTCCCTTTATTGCCAATGTTGGCCTCTAATTTGTTATTTGTTAACCTAGCAAGAGTATTGGTTGAGAGCCTTTGTTTATTAAAAACAAGTGGACGACTCGTACCTTTTAGGCTCAGTA